AATTATATATTGAGTCAACCTTCATCAAGAAAAATCTAGTGCTGATTCACTTTGCTGACTTTTTTAAAATTTGCTTTGCAAGAACAATCCTAAAACAGAATAAATGGCTTGCTAACTTTATTCTTTGCCTTTTCTGGCATTTACTTTTCTTTTTCCAATTTGAAATGCAACCAGCTGTTTCTGTGCAATAAAAATTGAATTATTAAACAAAATAGCTCTTTCCATATCTTCAGTCTATAGGCACCTCATCCCTGAATGTGAAGCTGGACATAAGGATTACTAAACATTGAAAGTTACAAAAATGTTTAAAATACTATATAACTGAAGTCATAGTAAGAGGCAAATTGTGCCTTTCTTTTTAAGTCTGGCACTAAAAATGACAATAGAACATAGAGGATTATATTGTAATTAGTATGTAAAAAATTTCAGAAAGCTTTTTTTTGAATCTATGTGTAATGGCAGTGCTGATTAAATCCCTCAAAGAAAATCTAAAAAAATGCCAGGCAATGGTCATATTCCCATTTTGGGAGAAACTGGCATGATATCAACATCATCATGCAATCTTCAAAATGTTAATTTGTTATAGTTTAGTAGATTTCTAGAAAGACACATTGCTGGCGACCGAAGGATGGGGACTGTCTTAGTACAGGCCAGCAAAACCAGATGCTATATGCTAGTCCATCCTGAGTGGAGACACTAATTGGCTAACGGAAGATTCTGGTAAGGAAGAATACTACATGCTTCGTGGCAGTATTCAGGAAACTGTAGGCTGCAGTCAAGATTCCAGGGCCCAAAGAGGAATAAGAGGGACTGAGATCTTTAGATAACTTAGCAACACCCAGAAAAGTCCTGTTCTTTTAAAGTCACTCTGGGAAACACTTCTTCTCTTCTTGTTAGAAACAGGAGCTAAGAGGTTGTACTCAGGGCCTGAGGGTCAGGACCAATAAGAACAGAGAAAAGACAGCACAGCAGGTCCAAAGTCTCTCTGGTGGAATCTCAGGGACAGGTGCAGGTGGCAGTGTTGGAGGTAAGATGTGGTCGGGGTGAGGGTCACAGGAACAGGGAAAGGAAAGCACAACTGCAGGAACCTGAGCTTAGAGACTTTTCCCAGCCAGGAGCATGCTTAGAAACTAGGCACTCAGGACCAAAACTCACCTTTCCCCTATTAACAAACATTAGCAGGAGAAACATCACACCCCTGGGACTATGACAGATCCCAAGCCAGCCATATAAGGATAAAAAGTGGGAGGGTATCAATTCTAAGTCTCCACCCCTTTCCAAGGAAAAATCATGATTATTCTGTCCCTACCCCTTAATTAGAATTTAAAGAGCTAACCTAAAAAGACCATGTTAAACCCAGAGCCTCTCTGCTCTGGGAATGGACTCCTCCTCCTCTGGGACATACTTTCCCCTTGTAAGACTTCCTCTCACTTTGCAATAAACACTGCTGTGTGAGTTGCCTGCAGAAGTCTGTACTTGACCTGTCTTGGTACCAGGACCCATTCTCGGCTCTGGGAACCAAGGACCAGGAAAACAAACTCCACCCTGACACCCCGAAGCATAGGAATGGTTGGGAGTGCTGATAGTTTTTTACTTAAGTCTGTGACATTTCTAAAACATTTTCTTTTTGGCCTCCCACCAACTCATCATTGTGAAAGTGGAGGCAGCTCAAGTCTAAGCATAGATATTCCAACGTCACTTTGCTTAAAATCCGCAGTACTCTGATCAGAAGTGATTCTGATATGGTGGCCACAAGCTGGGTGTGGCCCCTGAGCACTTGACAGACTAAAGGTTTAACATACACTCTTGATTTTAAAAACTTAGTAAAAAAATAGGGAATCAAAAATACTACTTATTTTTAATAATGCCTATATATTACATAATATTTGGATGTATATTAAAAATATAATCAATTTCATTTTTTTTTACTTTTTAAAATGCGACTAATAGAAAATTTAAAATTACATATGTGACTTGAATTATATTTAGATAGCACTTGTTCTGGCCAAGAACTTCTAAACCATGTCATTCTGATTTTTACCATATTTATTTATGTGTCTCTGGGACAAATGAGCCCTTAAAAGTTTGAGAAAAATTACCATGACTCCAATTAGACTTTTTTAATGGGGAAATAATTCAAGATTATCCTTCATGGTAAAAAAAAAAAATCTAGTTTATCCTGTGTATCTGAACTTACCTCAAAATAAAAACCAATAACATAAAAAGATAATTGTCAGCTCTAAAATACAAAATGTAATTTACTGTTCTTTGCTGAAATTTCTTTTATTATTTTGCTTTGTGACTACACTGTCAATTAGGAGTAATGCTAGGAAATATTTTCTCAAATTGTCTCAATTTGTCTACCAATATTTAGCTCAGTAATCTTCGAGATAGATAATGTGTCCCATTTTAACAAGCAATATGTTATCTGTTCTTTCAGAAAAGTCAACATAATTATCCTGAGGATGTATTCATATGCAATCTTGGAATACTTTGAAAATGACCAATTTTTGTGAAACTGACTTTTTTCTCACTCAAACTACTAAATTAGCCACTGTGTAGGCATTATCAGGAGTTTATCTTGCACATAGAAGTCAAAATTTTAAAATCTCTCTGATTTTTAAGAGAATTTACAGGTTAAAAAAAAGATAGAGGAAATTGCCAAAATTCTTAGTTTACAGGTTAAAAAAAAAAAAAGTAGAAGAAATTGCCAAGGTACTTGAGTACTCACCGAAGGATAGCCATGTGCACTGATCTAAATGGGTAAGTTCTGGAACACACCTGGCCCTGGAATTGTACAGTCCGCAGGGCTGAGGACCGCGGTCTGCCCTGGTGTTGAAATGATCTACCTGCCCTTGAAACGAGGCTGAAAGGAATCCTCTGTCCTGGTCTTCCAGCTCACTGCCACTTTCAAGAGCCCTTTCCTTCTCTTCACCCTTCTGATGGACACTTACCACATTCATCACACATATCTGATAAGTCTCACAGGGAAAAGTATACCAGGACGTTGACCTCAAATGGAAATCTTAATACTTAATCAAGAAGGCATTCTTAAGTTTAAAAATAGTGAGCCCTTTAAACAGCCAAAATGGGAATTCTGAGAGGGAATAATTAAAGAAGGAAGGAAAGAGGAAAGAAGAAGATAAGTGGCTCTTTACTATCTGAGATCAGAGATCGTAAAGATAAAACAAAATAAAAAATAATGTCCTGAGCCCAGAAGATGTGCCCTTTCAGGGCCTCTGTGTCACTCTGGCCTGTGAGGGCCTCACCTATGGAAGAGAAGAAATCCCATCTCACATTCTCCCATTGAGAATAGTAAGTCGCAAGGGGAGATTTGTGCTCAGAAGGAGGAATGTCTACTGAGGTCCAACAGTCTCCAGAAACCAGAGATTTCATTTTATTTTCCAATTTAATAGTTTTGAGGAAGAACCAAAAAGATTTAAGATCTCTTTTTTTGTGATGAAGACTTTTATGTGATGATTGTTTTTTTTTTATTGTCTTTATTTTGGTCCTTGAAAATAATTTTCTTAAAATTAAGAAAATCCACTGAAATGTGATATATAATTTGATAAAATGTTCATTTCAACTCAGCTTAGAAATACACTTAGTGTAATTTCTGTAAGGGATAAGCATTCCTACAAAAGTCAAAGGAAAACTATGTTTTGGGAAAAAAACACAATAAATATTCATATTAGGTCCAATGTTCTAGCTTTTCAAGAGTCTGATTTGAAATCAGTGCTTTTTCTTTGTTTTTGTTTTGCTTGCTTTTTAAGGTAAATAAAATGTTTCATTGTGCTAAATTTCTTGACAAAGATATTTTCGAAACTACATTGTAAAATATGAGCACTTCCATTCCAAGTATGAGAAAAAGATACTAGTTTTTCATAAATATGTTTAGTTCATACGTAGTATATCTAGATATAAATCAATTGGAGATAAGAGAGTTTTGTTTTGGTTTTTTTGCATGAACAATATTTCCTTACTCTAGAAAGTGGATAAAGAATGATCTTATAATGGAATCATACTTTATTCAGACATTTTGGCACCAACCTGTAGAATAGATTTTTCTGAATATTTGAAAATTGATAATTGTGGAGATTATCCATTACAATGCTCCTGTCAGGTTATATAAATTCACAAGTAAATACAATTGTATCTGGAAAATGAAAAGTAATCAATCTTATTTCATCAGTCTAAATACTAGCCTTTCCTCCTTTTCATATGTAAGTTTCTGCCCCCCGCCCCCTACCTTGTCCATCAGAAGGTTGAAGGACATCGAACTGGACAGCAGGTTAGGGGGAGAATGAAACTCGGTTGTTGTCCCCATTAGTAGGTGAAACCCAGCAGGACTGTGCTAAGTACTTTCTCCACAATTGTAAAATGGCAGAATTTTATGAGGAAAGAACATTTTGGTTGTTATTAATACAGTGTAGATAAGTAAGAATAAAATGAAAAGGCGTTCTCCATACAAGCTTTAGGGTCCTATGGTTTCATGGTCCTTCAAAGTATGCTTCAATTTCTTACCATTGTAAGTGGAATTTTTCTTTTTTGCACATACTATACAACTATCCCCTACAACCACCTTCTTATAAACCGTTTGAACACATTAATTATAAAAAGTAAAATGTTGTGAGAGTCAAGAGAACATGTCTTATAGTGCTACTTAGTATTAGCCATGCCATCCTTCAAAGAAATTACTGCCTTGTGAGAACCCCAAAGGGTGTAGGATGGCCATTCAAAGCAAAAACGCTTTGCCACTATTCACTCTGAATGTGTACCACTGGTTGCTGAACATGTATGTCTTTAAGTGTTATGTTGTGTGTAATTGCAATTTCAAATTTAGCTCATGGGTAGGTATCCCTTACATGCCATAGAAGACACTATTAGTTTCATAAAGCAGTCACATGCATGAAGTTAGGATTTACCAACTGGTATGTATGTATTTTTTTTTTTTTTTGCACCTCAGAAAACAGAATCACTATAGTGCATATCATGCTTCCACACCTTCCTTGCTGAAGGACAAAGTCCATAAAATTCTGGGGCTTGGCTTCCACATCTGAAGGAAGGCGACTTAGTACTCTGGCAGGATCGCATCTTGCTGCGGCATCCCAAATCCCACAGCAGGCTGTTCTTGCCCTTCTTTGGGGGCTGTGGCTTCCTCCAAGGTCTTCCATTTCTCCTCCAGGAGGCCCTCCTTAATTTCGTCGCCAGCCACCTTCATCTCATCATCCTGTGCCATCTCGGGGGGCTTCTCAGCACTGACATCTGCATCTTTAACCTCCTTGGAGGTCTGCACCTTCATCAGCTCCGCCTCATCCTCTCCCTCTGGAAGAGCTGTGCCCACCTTTCTGTCGTCCTGAATTGGAGACGGTTCTCGGCTGGCCTTGTGGCTCTCGTGGCTGCTGCTGGCACTTCCCAGCCGGGAAGAGGCCACCACAGCCTTCACCGCTGCCTGATATGAGACAGGAACAGTGTCAGTGCTACCTCCACTTGGGGTCCCAAATTAGAGCTCAGCCCCAATTACACTCTTTGAGAGTCTGATTTGTAGCTTAGTGTTCAATCTTTCAAAGTATATTATTCTTAGATTGTTTGCTGAATGAAAACTTATTTGAGGACAAACAGCAAAACCTTTTAATCCCAAATTAGTGTATTTACTCATCTGGACTCATTGAAAGCCTAAGTAAATGTGTTTACCCCTGGATGACCAGTTTCAAAAACTTTAGACTGTGTTTCCCAAAATACTTGTTTTGTGGAACACCCGTTCCATGGGTATCAGCAGTTATTATGAGGATGAAAGAGTTCAATGGTCAAGTTAGCATGAGAAATTCTAAATTAAGTCAACATTGTTTAATCCTGAGTATTTCAAATTAATTTGACCATGGAGCCCTTCTGATTTGTTCAGTCTGTATCAGACTATGAAGGATTGTTGACCGAGAGTCAATTTTTAACCCCCAGATCCGTCTGAGATCTCTGTCTTATATAGCTAGTTCTAAACAGAAAAGTACCTGATCTCTATTCCATATGGATTATATAAAAGTAGGTATCTTGGGTGAATGATTTTCTATATCATGTAAACTATTTTATTTTTTGTCAAGTATAGTAATTGCCTATATTACCACATCTAATTTCAAAAATTATTTTCCAAATTTTACATATTCTAAAGGAAAACAACTTTCTACTGAATGAACACCAGGCTTTTGAACAACACTGTTGAAGCAGTTTGCTGTAAGTAGATGGGAAGTAGCAATAACACACTTGGTGAGTCCGTCTCAACATACGCTGCATTCCTCTGATGAAGAATGAGTTTCCGGCAGCGCCTGTGGCTCAAAGGAGTAAGGCGCTTGCCCCATATGCCAGAGGTGGTGGGTTCAAACCCAGCCCCAGCCAAAAAAAAAAAAAAAAAAAAAAAAGAATGAGTTTCCTATGAGGAGATAACAAAACTGGGAGTGGCTCTGTGGCAGTGTTGTTGGGATTTCAAAGCTGGATTTTCCTTGGTACCACAGGAGGTGGATAACAGCATTCAATGAAGAATGACAGAACTTTTATTGAGAGTTCAAGATAAAGTCTCTTTTTTTCTTAAAATACAGGACAAAACTATGCTCTCTCACCTTCAGCTTGCGCCGAGCATTGAATTCTTGCAGCTTCTTTTGAGCCGTGTCCATGTGTACAAAATTGGCTGCTTTCCCTGTGACCCACGGGTGTTGGAGAGCTTGAAAGGTCGTCAACCTTTTCTTAGGATCCAAAACAATTAATTTCCTGACCTGAAATTGTAAAGAACAGTAAACTCAGAGAGATTTTTATGGTGACCTGGGCTAGCCCTCAGCTTGGGAACTTCTAGGTCTTGTTTTATTTTCCGAGCAGTAACTATACATTCAGTAATAGTAAATACACATTGAAAACCGCTTAGGCCCTCAGGGATCACTGTGGGAAAGACCCGCCCCTGGGGGCAGCAGCTGAGGGGGTCCGACAGTCACCTGTACCACCTGTGCCCCCAAACTGGCAGGCTGCTTTCCTTGCTTGCCTGTGGACTAGAAGTTCTATGAAGGCAGAACCAGCGTCTGATAATTCTAGGCTGTACTTTGCAATCACCTAAAATTCAGAATTTAAAATACATCTCCATGGTAACAGAATCATCACACATCATTCTTCTTTCTGTGAGGATTCAATGCAAATAAAGGGATAGTATCCCAGCCCCTACGGAATACTATCTTATTCTTCTATCTGGAGGTTTCTAGATTTTTCTCTGTATTCTCTTGAGCGTACTTAAAGGAATAAGCTCAGGGCTTAAAAGCCATTTCAGAATCAAGGTAAAGAAGTCAGTGGCTTGAGGGCGTGATTTGCTTACAGGACTGAAACCCCCCAGAGCAGCCTGTTCTGGGAGGTTTCCTCCTACCTGTGAGGGTAGCAAATGATCAATGCCAGAAAAGGCAACACATGACATAATCCATGGCCCCGGGCTCAGCTGGAATGACCTGGTATAAGGTGGAGACTATTTGGAGCCAGCAGGTGTGCACCAGCCCTGGTTATGCCCCTTAAGTCCCCTGGCGACCCAGACACAGACATGTCTATGAATGGAGAGCCTCCAGACACTCACCGGAGAATGGAGGGCCTTTCTCACAAGACCTCATTTCTACCTCAATTCCTTTGTACATGGATTTTAAATACTTTCTAAAAACTTAAGAACCTTAATAAATAATCTTACGTTTGGAACAATTCGCAACAATTGATAAATGAGGGAGGGATGAAAGCTCAGGAAGACTTAGGGACTTGCCTAAGATCAGTTTGTAAGTGGCAGAGCCCATATCAAACTTGACTCTGTCAGAGCTCGCCGTCTGGCCACTGTACCATGATGCTGCCAAGACGGTCAGTCCCTCTGACTTTGGCCTGGTCATGCGTAAAATGAAGGGTTTGGGACGATTTTAGGTCTAAGGTCTTTTCTAACTAACAGCCTAAGAAGAAGGGACATAAGCTAACAAATTGGGCAGCAAGCCAAAATGAGAAATTAATGTGATCTGGTTTTCTTTCCACGTCTTTTCTGTAGCATTTGCAAAGAAAGGAGCACGGCTTTGGAGTAGAGAGCCTGGATCTGTGGAGGGCAGAGTTAGTTGGTGCTGGTTACTTAACGTGCATTGTGTTCTCTTAATTCTCACAACAACCTGGAGATAGGTTCCATTATCATCCTCAATGAGAAAAACAATACGTAGACAGGTCAGCTAACAAGCCCAAGGTCACTCTTCTAGGTCATGATAAAAGCAACACCTGAGTCCACGTGCGTCAGACCCTGACACACCTGATTCATTATTTCAGTCAATGAACTTTAATTGAGCCTATAGTATATGCCCATCTAGTAAGAGCTGAGTACACATTTTGTCCTCTCCCAGAGTTTATAATCTAAGTAAAGACCACCTAACATGGAACCATAAGTGATGATTATTAGGAAAGGGGGAGGCCAGGGGCGAAGGAAGAACATGGCTGAAGGAACCAAGTATGGAAGGGGTAGGATGGATGGGGAGGTGCCCTTGCCTCCCCGGATATGTCTAGGGGCTGCTAGAGTTATAGGATAAGAGTCATCAAGGCAAAGAGGGGGGCGTGTGTGGGGGGGGAGGGAGAGAGAGAGGAGAATGAGAGGGGGAAAAAGGGGGAGAGAACATTACGAAGCAGAGGAGACAGCAGTGACCAATATCCCGAGCTTCACAGCTGAGGATCTGGGAGTCTGATGTGCTGAGTGAAAAGTGCTCAGGAAGGAGGGCTATGAAGCTCGTGAAGGCGTGGGGTGAAGGCGTGGGGGGGGGGCAGGCTCCCACCAGGCAGTGCCATGTAGATCTTGTAAGGGCATGGGAGTGTACCCGAACAGCCTTAAACCAGGGGAGTGACATGATGTGATCTATTCATAAGACCGTCCTTCAGGAGCCTCTGTGAAGGCGTGTTTGAGAAGGGGATGGGAAGAGAGAGACAGGGAGACCAGATAAGAGCCATGTGGTAGCAGCGGTCCAGGTGGGAGAGGATGGTGGCTTGGCCTGGGACAGAGGTGTGGAGGTGGAGAGAGGAGGATGGATTCCAGGGCTGTTAGGAGCGTAGGGTCTGCCGTGAGGAAGGAGCTGGGATGAGAGATGATATAGCTACCTGGCAGCACAGTGCCCTTCTCTTCCCAGTCACTGGAAAGCCACGGGCCTCTGAGACCAGTTCCATGAAAGAACACAGTGAGTGAGCCGGGAAGGCTAGAAGGGGAAGAGCAATGGAAAGGGAGTCCAGAAACCTGCACAGTCCTAGTAAGTCTTTCTGCCCAGACACTGTATGACCTGTGGCAGTCATGTCACCTCTGTAGTCTTTACACACTCCGAGGAGGACTAGATGACTCCTGAAATCCCTTAGAGATCTGATCTGTTGTTAAGAAGTCAGTTTTGGATGATGTATATGGAGATATTCTCTGGAGGACTGAAGGTAAATGTTTCAATCTCATGTCAGCATCTTCTTTATTTTAGAAGAGGCAGACCACCCCCCCCCGCCCCAATCAGTATGTGTTTCCTGAAAGCAAATGAACTCCAATATTAGCAATTGCAACACAGTGTCAAACAAACAAATAAAATGCACTATTAATACAGTGGAACATTTTTTATAATGCCAATGGGATGTAACGGGACTTGTGTTCCTATCAGGATATTTTATTATATTTGAATGAAATTTCAGTACACAACATTTCTTTATTTAAAGTATATCAAAATCTAGAACATGGAAAGCCATGTTAAAGTAGAATTCTTCTATTTAAATTACGTTTGATTCACCTAACAGCATTCTTCAGAAGCAAGGCTCTATATTGACCAGTAGTAAAACCTCCTTAATACCCCAGTAATTGTAATTTGTGTTAATTCTGTTAATGATGAGTCCAAACATATCTGCTTTACTATCTACAAGGAACATTCATTAATGTGCATTTTATTAAACGTACTTTAAAATTAAAAAAAAGAACATAAGGGGCAAATTTTTAAAAATAGCATTGCCCATTAATTAGTTTAAAAGAATTGATTTCATTCTGTTTTGGCCACACTTACCAAGTCCTTGGCATTGAGAGACACTTCATCCCACCAGGGGGAGATAAAGTAATATTCACAATTCAGAATTCTCCTGAACATGAACTGATCGCCTCTTTCATCATAGAATGGTTCAAATCCACAAAGTCTAGAGGGACAAAATATAGGGAATAAAGTATCTTTACAAATTTAAGCCTATTTCATCAAATCTCTGCAGAAATTCAGCACTGTCCTTTTTCACAGCTTCCTGTTATGGAAGCAATTCTACTCAGCAGAGGTGTGTGATTGCCTTATTACAATTCACTGTCAATAACATAAACACTCAATTCTGTCTTCAGGAAGTAGGACTGACTTAAAAACAACTTAGGAGCTCTACAAGAAAAGCTATAATAAAAAATTTATGATGCATAAAAACAAGAATTCTAATAGCTAACGTCGTGATAGACATTCTGCTAAGGACTTTCCACAGATTTTCTCCCCCCACAGGAATTGGGAAGACACAGACAGAGAGATTGATTTGAGTTCCAACTTAGTACAAAATGGAAGAGTTCGGATTTTGAGAGTACAGGGATTAAAAATGGGAAGAAAAGATTTTTCACTCATTTTTATTCTGCCCTATTTGATGAATTCCTCCGTGGAAATAAATCAAGTATTCCGATGTTTCCATCCTCTTCCAGGAAGTTTGGATCAGAGTAAACAGAGGAAGGAGCCAAAGCTGTTATCAGGGGCGGCCTTAAAAATGTACAATGCGCTGTGTGGGTGCGGCCCCGGGGGGGGGGGCAGCCTCCATGACCTCATTTTTGTGTCTCCCACCTTCACTTTTGTTTTTTGTCCAAGATAATTATAATTTGTTTAATTCTCTCTTAATGGGGCTCACTGTTTCTTGCTCCTCACACACATCCTCTCTGGTGGGGAATTCGGGCCTGTGCAAAGCACAAAGGAAATGGTGCCCACCTAGGCCCCTGGCCAGCTGTACGGCTGACTCCCACCAGAGCCCCTCCGCCCTGTCTGGCCTCACCTGCGCCAGGCCCCACAGGCTGCCTGTCCCTGCTCCTGACCCCTGGGTCTGGAGCACCACCTGTCCCTGGGCATCTCTAGAAGGGGCGGGAAGGAGGGGGCCTCTGTAACCTCCCTCACTTTGTACATCTGAAAGACGTGTCACTCTGTTCACTTCCATTTTCCACTACAGGGTCAGCTTAAAATTAATGGGAAAAGTGGGAGACAAGGAACAGGGGACCGTCTCGGGCATCCTAAAGAGAGCGAGCTGTTCGTCTGGGCCCACCAACCTCCACTGCTTAGAAATGAGCAGGGCTTCTGAACTCACCAGGGACCAAAAGGGACCAGAGCCCAGCCAGGGCTTGTGTCACAGGGGTCGTGTCTGAAAAGAACGGGCACGGTGTGGCAGGAATGAATAAGATAAGAGACATCTTCCCTAATTCTTTCCCGGAGCCAGCCAGGTTGGTGCAGAGCATGAAAAATTCAAACACATCCTAATAGGGTGAGTTTTGAGGATAAGTGGATTCTGATGTGCTTTTCCTCACGGAATGTCCCATGGGGAGAGACTTTGTCTTTTCCAAATATTCTGGAGCCAGCTGGGAAAAGACAAGTCTGGGAAGTGCTGAGGGCTGAGCCAGCACTTTCTCCTTCTCCCGACTGTGCTGTCTGCTTGGAGAAGCCACTCCAGACCTGCCTTTGGAAGAGACACATGGAGAGGTGGGAGCACACGTCCATGCCTCGACATGGAGAGTCTGGCTCTGCCTGGCCCTCTCCTCCCCTCCACATTACTAGAAAATTATGGCCTGCGGCTGGTTCTCCATGGGGGAATTAGCCAACTTTCCAGACTTAATTTAGGAAGCTCCTTATGTTTTCCCTTCTGAAAATCTAGAGACACAAATGACAATTCAGAAGTTTTAGCACTTGAATGCCTTTTCTTTCATTTAAATCATGTTAGTGACTTTGTGCTTTAGTGACCAAGCTTAAAAAGTTTATGCTATGTCAGCCTGAAATGCCCAAAAGGAAGGAATTTGAGAACAGTAAATACATGTATGCACACCCACACACGGTGCAAGAACTCTGCAGAAACGGTAATATTTTGATTCCATCAATGACAGGTTAGGAGCATGTTGGGATTACACCGGCCTGAGGAGTGGGTGTTATGCAGCCCAAATCCCAGAGCCTCTGGGCAGAACTGGAATGATGAAAGGAAGGAGAGAATTTGGGTCTCTGAGATCACCTGATTCTGGTCAGACCAGAAGGGCCACTCTTGCAGGTGTGTCTGTGGGCAGAGGGGCTGGGATTACTGGAGAAACACTAGAATGACCTTCACTTTTAGCCTATTGCCATCTTTAGAAATAGCAAAGTCATACCAAGAAGCCTGAAGGTGACAAGCTTTTAAGATTTTAAGAAGGAAAGAATGGAGGATTAAAGTGCAGCAGTAGCCATAAGAACAGCGGCAAGGGTGAGCAGAGGTTAGTAAGAACCAAACTTAAAATTCAAGGCGTTTTTTCAAAAATAACCCCCCGAGTTTATGTATATATAGGCAAGCATATGTAAAACAGGGGCCTCAACGTTTGGGACATAGAAGAAGGCACCTGACTGAAATTCATAACGTAGCTTCATTGCAACATTTACTGTGCCAGGCTTCATCCACAAATGGATGCTTACTTCTAATTCTTTTTTTTTAATTAAATCATAAACACATAGATCATGTATACATTAATGCATTTATGGGGTACAATATGCTGACTTCATATAGAATTAGGAATGCTCACATCACACTGGTTAATATATACCTCATCTCATTTACTTAGTTATTGTGTTAAGACATTTATACTCTATACTAATAGATCCGACATGTACCCTTGCATTATGCACCATAGGTGTGATCCTACCATTTACCCTCCTTCAATCTGACCTCCCCCAGTTCTCCCTTCTCATCCCCCCCCCCAGTTCTAATTCTTTAATCCGTTATTTCTGTGTTCTGCCCCCTTCCGGCTCCAAGCCACTATGTTGGAATGAGTGACTCTGCTGTCTAGAGGTCAAAGTGTCAGGTGACTGGGAAGCCACCAAGTACACCGCAAAGCTAAGCTGGTACAAAAAAGGAGACACATAGATCCAGCGGCACGACCCAGTAGAGAAAATGCATCAAGGAGGTGTGCTCTGTGGACTCCAGAAATTATCAGGGAACTGCAAGCTAAGTAAAAAGTCTGTAGGCTTAGGAACCGATAGAAGTTAGTTGAGAACTAAGAGCGTTAGCTGTAACTAGCATCAATATTTTCATATTGGGGGATGCTCTTACTTTCAGCTAATACTTATTAATTAATTGCCTTACGTGTATAAAAACAAAAGAAATATAAACAAATTTGTATGGTAAAGGTAAGGACTATGATAGACTTTTCAATTTATCTTCAGGGTTATAATAAAGTGTTTCTCAAATGATTATTTGTCTTTCCTTTCATTTCCCCGTGTCAGTGACCATAGTATGGAGTGTGACTCCAGCTACTCTGGGTGAATGGAATTTAATTTTTGACTTCCATCTCGCCACATTCTTTTCTACCATGAGTGTCTCAACCCCTCCCGGTATACTTCAACACAAAATTGTAATTGGGTACATTTACACTTTAGGGGCAAACCTAAACTTTTATGTGTATAGGTCACTTTTTCACTCAATGTTGCTAAGCATGAAATGTCACTAACATAATCCGGGTGACATTCTCTGCCTAGTATAACAGTGATCTCAAACACAAGTAGAAGGAGGTCCACAAGGTGGCCAGGGAGTCATTGTAATGAATTAAGCACTTAGTGTGGCAAACATAAATTACCGAAGAGTCTGCACTTTCCTGAGGAAAAAACATGGTTTTCTACCTCTTCAAATTGTTCTCAAGCTTGAATATAGTCTAGAGACACAGAGAATTGAACGCCGAAAATATCTTTTGACGTTAAAATCAACGGAGGCTATTCTGTGGGCTGCTTTTTAAACCTTTTTGTCTTGGCCAGGCATCCTCAAACTACGGCCCACAGGCCACATGCGGCCGCCCAGGACGTTTATCTGGCCCCCAGGTGTTTTTGCAGCCCCTGCCTGTCCTGCTTAGCAGCTGACTTATCCTGGGGCCCGCAGCCCTGCCCTCCCACAGTCTGAGGGACAGTGAACTGGCCCCCTGTTTAAAAAATTTGAGGACCCCTGGTCTTGGCTATCAACCAATACATATATGCAGGTGAACTTAGAGTTTGCTAAAATGCTTAAGGGGTCTTATGCCAATTACCCCACTCCTGGCCCTTAAGACTTGGACATTGCACTTTCTAAGATCATTGTTAAGTTAAAAACAAATTTAAAAAACTCGCAAACAACTCTTTTTGCTATGGACTGAATCATGTCTTCTCCAAGTCATATGTTGCAGCCCTGACCCTTAAAGTGATAGTATTTGGAGACGAGCCTTTGGGGAGTAATCAGGGTTAGATGAGGTCATGAGGGTGGGGCCCTGTCATCATGAGATTCATCTTCTCCTAAGAAGAGACATCAGAGAACTTGGTCTGTCTCTGTCCCTGCCACGTGGGACGCAGTGAGATAATGGCCACCTGCAAGCCAGGAAGAGGGTCCTCACCAGAACCCAGCAATGCCGACAACCTGAGCTTGAACTCCAAGGCTCCAGAACTGCAAGAAAATAAATTCCGGTTGTTTAAGCCACCCAGTCTATAAATTTCATTACGGCAGTCCAAGCAGACTGATACGGTATACTTTCTTTTTAGCCCTCCAAAATTTTATAGATTTAAATATTACAGATCCCAACAACTAACTGCAGTGTTCTCTAAATGGTAACCAAGTCTGCTTATTTTGAATTAAACTCTTGGTCTCATGGATATCTTGTTTTTCAGTTGTCCTACAGCAATCTTCCTTTTCAGACACTCTTCCAGTTGTCTGGTGATTTTCCTCATTATGTGCAATTCAATATCTATTTGGATTTCATGAATTTCCTTATTTCATGTTAGACAGGAACTCAGGAACAGAGCTGAGAATGCCAGAGAGTGAAATATTTATCTCATTTTTTTTCCCCAGAGAAATTTATGTATGGTATTAAACTCAAAGTCCTTGAAAACCTAATAGAGATTGGAAACAAAATTGGTAGAAAAATGCCTTTAAAGCATTCCTGATAAGAAATATATCAGTTTGGGGTTGTGTAAAAAATTAAATAGCCTTTTACCTTTTAGAAGGACTAAAGTCTAATTAGTTTAGATATGATGCAAATCAGTAAAACAAGAGTGAGTTTAATAGGTGCACTTGGGTTTCACATTTATTACTTTTGTCAAATAATGAATTATTCCCCAAATCTCTCATATACAGAATAGCAGATGAGCCACAGAAAAACACTGGACAGAAGTTCTTGCCCCAAGAAAGTGATAAAATAAAAATGAATGCCCATTTTCAGAAAATCCTATAACTACTTTGTGATTTAGAAAATCACAAAAAGTCAAAGTAATCTTGGTTTTTATGAGTACTACAGGTACCTGGAAAATGTTACAGAAAGGCAAACACTTTGCACAGAGATTGGTTTTCTTCACTTACAAGATGTAGGTGATTATTCCTACAGACCACATGTCCACCTCAGGTCCATACGCACAGCCTCTGAGAATTTCGGGTGCTGCAGTAAAAGTGAAAACTATGTTAAATTAGAGCTTAAACCCAACATTCACATTTCCATTACACGCAGGGGAAAAGAAATTAATTCATCAACAAAACTTCAGAGCAGTTTCATTCAATCTTCTCTCCCCAAAGCACAGTATAGGGCTAAAAATGCTTATGTCTACTTTAGTAGGAGAGATTATGGTCTCTGTGAGTTTGTGATGCATAAGAGAAAAGCTATTAACTTTAATAATATTCTACCTGGGTACAGTATGATACTGCTCAAAGAGATAGAGCTTTATCTCTGCTACAAAAGACCCCTTACTTCAAAGGGAGCTTTGTACACAGAAAATAAGGAAAGGAATGCTAAGCATGGGGGAAAAAGTCTAGGGAAAAAAACGCACAGTTGAGCTGCCTGCAGGTCTAGCGCTACTGGAGCAGGGGAGTCTGTGAGCATGTGTGGCTGACCTGGCTGCGTGCAGGGTGGGTCGGGGTGGGGTGGGGGAGGATTAGCAACTTTCTAGCACTGGAAGGTAGGGAAAGGGGCTATGACGAGCCTGGACATATACAGGTCTCTAAAGAATTGCTGGCCCCAGTCAGCTTGGGGTCACAGACTGAGAAACTGAGCTTTCTCTCTGCACAGAGAGCAGCTCGTAATATCTCCGACTGCCACTGTTGTGGCCCTGGAGTAGAGAATGGCAAGATCTTTTATATTTTTATTACCTTGGATCTGTGAAAAGGGGGAGTAGTTGTTTGCCTTGAGGAGTTGGGGTGTTGTTTGCCTAACTAACATGAGAAAAAGAGAAGATGGGGTCAGGCCTAGGCCCAGAGTGGCCTTCTTTTGTTCTGACCACAGTGCTCCTTGATAATTGCCTAGGGTTCTTTAAGGGAGGTTTGGGGACAAGGGCATCACACTCCTCTGGGCTAGGGGCCGCCCACAAAGGCTGGAATTGTGGCACTCAGTGCTGGCTGGCTGAGGGAGCTCTAGAAGGAGGCCAACCTGAAGGGCTCTGGATTCACTTTATGGGGAGCAGTACCGAGGATGGCTGCTGACCTCTCCCCGTACTACCCCCTGCCCTATTCTGGTTAGGATTTTCTCTTTCCTGTAGAAACTGTGTGACATAAAATATAGGAGATGAAGAGCCTACATGGTAAAATGAGGGTGTGTGCTTTGTCCTTCAAAACAGCAATTCAGCAAGATGCGCCCTTTAAGAAATTGAATCTGCAGCCAAGTTTTTCTTATCTACAGATAAATTATTGCCAGAAAATTTTTCTTTAAAAGATTTAATTAACAAAATTAAGAAATCCATGCTGAATGTCAACATCATTCACTCTGTTGGTAGCTTTCGTTCCCCAGGGCAGTCTGCACACACAGAAGGCGCCTCTGAACCCCAGCAGTGAACTCCCACTTGCAAGCACTCTGCTGATTGCCCTGAGTGAGGAACTCAGATTAAGTTGCTGCCTGCAGGAGGCAGCACCTCTTGTCTTTGTCTCTGGGAGCTGTTGTAGTCAGGGAGCCAAGTGCCTGCACTCTGAGCATGTGTCCCCATGAGGACTTCACACCCGGTCTGAAATGCTGTCACGCCCCACACTGACATTTAAACATAAATACAGAAATATGTTGGGGCATATACACTTTCTGGGTCTTGGTTTTAACCTCTGAAATGTGAGTGAATGGAACTACTTGATTTCCAAGTTTACCTTGAGTTTTAACTTGCTACCTGCTGTAATATTAGTAAAGGGTTAGTTACTGACCAGTCAAGCACGAAGCGAGGGACAAGCGTGAAGTCCTGACCTGTGAACCACGCTGCTCCTCCCGTTTCTTCTGCTAGGACTGCCTGTGCTGCTGCCCACAGGGGACGCAGCCTGTTGGCTCTAGGGAAACGAACTCTTCCATCCTGTGCTCACCTGAGACACCTCCTGGCCAGGGTCAGGTGTTTTCTGTGGCTGTTTCTTACAGCTCCCAGGCCAAAGGCCCCAAAGAAAGTGAATACTGTAGAAAGAAGTGCTTTTTGGATCTACTGTAGGGCATCTGGGTTTCATACCTGAAATGACAGTATCTGATCTCGCTCATAGCACGGGTGCAGCCTTACTTTCTGAAGGCACTTTATTTCCTTGTGAGGTATGATGCTATAATGTAAGTAAACTTGTAATGTGAAAGGCTAAACTTCCCAGAGAGGGGATAACTGAGGCAAAAGGAATATAGGTTTTTGCCCTAATAAATTTCTCTTAAAAATTGTTTCTCAGAATAACGTACACATATATGTTATACATATGTTACATATAAGTATTATACATATATATTTATTTATTTTGAAGTAGGGTCTTGTTCCTTTGTATCCCAGGCTGGGGCACTGTGGCTAAATCACTGCCTTGAAATCCTGGACTCAAGAGATCCTCCCTCCTCAGACTCCCAAGTAGCTATGAGTATGGGCATGCACCACCACACCTGGATAATTAAAAAAATAACAATAATTAGAAGAGAGAAGGTCTCACTGTGTTGCCCAGGCTGGTTTCAAACTCCTAGCCTCAAGAGCCCTTCCAACCGTGGCTTTCCTAAGTTCTAGGATAAAAGGCCTGAGCCACCATGTCTGACCCAAAAAGAATGTATATTTTTAAAAGGTAATATAAAACTGGGGTCAAAGTCAAGATATCTAGGTACAATTAGATACCCTCTTAAATAACCTTTAAATATTTTCTGTTACTAGTTAATATGACCTTGAGTTTGTTCAAAACCAGCAGACTCACTTGTGTAATTTGGCTGAACCCTTTCCAAGAGCTAAAAGCTTTTCTAGAATGAAGTTCAGGTTTGGCACGCCAGCCTTTTAAGTCTCCTAGGTATCAAATGTCCTTGGCAGGTGATCCTACTAATTTGTGATCTTCTTAGACTGAGACATGGTTGACTGCTTTCAATTTAACTCAAGAAAAGGTACCAATTAGTCCACTTCTAATGCTATAAGCACTTCCAGCTGTCCTTACCTTCAGTACAAAAACAAACAAAATGCAAGTAGAAAAAAATCGTTTTTAAAAACCACATTTTAGAAGCCATAGAATCATCTTTTTGGAAGTACAGATGAGTTCTATAATTCTCTCCTACTTATTGAGTTAAAACTATAGAGTGGCACTCTTAATCAGAAGACATTTTCAAGCTATTGTTAACTCTTTTGAGAACAATTAATCTGAAGGAGACTAAGGTGGACGAAATCAATAAGTTCTCCACTCAATACATAACTCAACAAATATTTGTTAAGCACGTGCTGAATGAGATATACAGTGTAAGAGCTGTTGGGGATAATGGGGTGTTCAAGAGAATAAATCCCTGCCCCCCAGAGCTTACATTTGGTGGTGGGGCAGATACAAAATCAAAATCATCAAATGAAGAAAAGCAAAGTGGTGACCGGTCATGCCTGGAGCGGGATTATCTTCAGTAGGGGCTGGCCTGATCATGGTCAGGGAGAGTGACCAGAGTGAGCAGAGTTTGAAGTGAGATGTGAAGGATTTAGAGACGTTAACTAGGAAAAGAGGGAGAAGGAAGTGGCTGAGGAAAGGGAGAAGAGAGCTGCAGGTGGAAAAAGCACCTATGTGAAGATGCTGTGCCAGGAGGAAGCAAGGGGCACAGGAGGGACTGGAGGGGGCCAGCGTGCCAGGGAAAGATGGCAGACAGAAGCAGCCTGTGTGTGCACGGCTGTCACAGAGAGGATTGAGGATGGCAGGTGGATGTGTGCCCATGCAGTAATTGAACACTGGGAAGAACTATAGAAAATAGGGCATCTCCAAGACTTGGTCAAAGTCCAAATGAAGGAGGAAATTCTGCAAGCTGTAAGATGAAAGCAGTAACTAACTTACAAAGGAGACCCCATCAGGCTAACCACAGGTTTCTCAGTGGAGACCTTGCCACACAGAAGGGAGGGGGCTCCAGTCTTCTTAAATAGAACAACTGCCAGACTAGAATTTTGAAGCCTGGAAAACTAAGTTTCATAATTGATAGAGAAATAAAATCTTTTTCAGACTGAGGGAATTAGTCACGCCCAGACCTGCCCTAGAAGAAATACTCAAAATTGCATTATACATGGATTAGCACAATAGATATCACCTGTGAAATCCCTCAAAGCTAAAGCTCATAAAAAACAATAGCACACCCAGTGGGGCCAGCTACTCCGGAAGCTGAGGCAGGAGAATATCCTAAGCCCAAAAGCTGGAGTTTGCTGTGAGCTGTGACACTATGGCACTCTATTAACAGTGACAAAGTGAGACTCTGACTTAAAAACAAAACAAAACAAAACAAAACAATAGCACAAGAGGGAAAATGAAGCAATCAGATATTACTCAACATTATTCAGGAGATGAGCATGCCAATCACCCTGACTTAATCATTCTAAAAACTCTCCATATAAAAAAACACACATTTGTACCCCCTTAATATTCTGGGGGAAACAAGAAGCCAGCATGGCTGGAGTAGGGCTTGGTGTGCAGCAAGCCCCGGGTACGATCAGCACCTGTGAGGCAGACAGAGGCAAGACTAAGGAGCCAGTCAGGGGGGTTGTCTTTTTTTTGTTTTGAAATTCTGCAGTCTGCTTTTTTTTTAGCCATTCAAAACATCTGGGAGCAAAACCTACGGGCACATTAAAGCCTGACTTCACCCCGACTTTCCAGAGCTGCTCTCCCTACCAGAGCTGAGGGGACACACTGGGATTTTTCACAGCGGGGGCTTGTCTTGAATTCAGAGTTTTCTGGGAGTCAAAAATAATCTGAGGCATCTTTAGCCCGGAACCTTCTAGAGTTTCTCCAAACGTTGCCTGTGGGAAGTGAACAGTGTGGAAGGAAGGGGACGGAGGGAGAGGGGAGGCGGAATGCATCTAAGGCAGGCAGAAGAGCAGTGTTTGGAAAGTCTCTGCGTCTTTCCTACTGCTCACCTGGCCTAGGAACCCCGTGGGGAAGGATGCACTTAGGGCCGCTGCCTGTGGGCGGCAGCAGTGTCTGCAGCTGGGCAGACTCCAAGCTGGCTGCTTTTCTTAGCGT